TTTATATATTTTTTAAAAAACAGATCAAAGTTTTTCCCCAAGAAGTGACAGTTGTTTTAATTTACTTCAGTTAATGTCAAAACTGAGTTTAAGAGCCGTGTCACGCAAAAGTACGTTTATCTCAAAATGGTATTTTAAGTTTCACATATTCGTGCGGCAAGTTTGACATTAAAAGTTGAATAATAATTTTTTTTACTTTTTTGCACGCAGTAGAACGAAAATAAATAAAAATTTGGAGACAGGAACAGTTTCTAATATTTCAATTAATATTACTAAATAAAGATGTTCTTCAACTATTTTATTAACTTTATTTACTATATTCTAAAAACTAAGGCGTATGCTGGAAAATCCCAAATGCTACGAAAGTAGTGGCGTAGCCATCGGGTGGACTCAATCCATCCACTAAAAGTTTTATAATTCACACTATTGTGCGAGAATTTCTCATATCTCTACCACTATAAAAACATTTGGGGCAACGCCCATCTGCTAACAAAATTCTAGCTACGTCACTATTCGAAAGCCCTTTCGAAGGCTTATTCGGGATGATTGGTTTGGTTGTTGGTCAGATAAGGATGATCTCAAAAACCTCTTTGATGAGGATACGTGTGGGGTATTGAAATTTCCGAAAACCTTTTGGACAAAACTTCCACGTACCCAAAACACTATCTTCAGGTAGCTGCAAAGGATATTTCTAAAACGCTTTTTTCTTAAACTTTTTCTAAAATCTTAAGCCTATTGGAAAACTCGGTTAGCAGTTTTAGAAAAAATCTTTTCGAGTATACTACAGACATGTATACTATGTCAGCTAAAATACAGTAAAAATAAAGTCCGATTTGCTGAACGAACAAACCCATACAGGCAAAAAGCGGGTAAACAGACTACTATCCATTTCAACATAGAATGCAGTGACTTGTTTTTAGAATAACTATTGATCGGCGATAGTTACAGAGCTGCGGTTTTCAGTTTCTGAAAGTGGATTGATGAAGCTTTGAATCAATGCAAAAAGAATGGAAAACGCGACATCTGCAGGTGGCATTTGTGGTATGTTTTCCAATAGGCTTAAGATTTTCGAAAAAGTTTAAGAAAAAAGCGTTTTAGAAATATCCTTTGCGGTTACCTGAAGATAGTGTTTTGGGTTCGTGGAAGTTTTGTCCAAAAGGTTTTCGGAAATTTCAATTCCCCACACGTATCCTCATCAAAGAGGTTTTTGAGATCATCCTTATCTGACCAACAACCAAACCAATCATCCCGAATAAGCTTTCGAAAGGGCTTTCAAATAGTAACGTAGCTAGAATTTTGTTAGCAGATGGGCGTTGCCCAAATGTTTTCATAGTGGTAGAGATATGAGAAATTTTCGCAGAGTAGTGTGCGTTATAGTGCACATTTTGACTTGAAATTTGGTTTTAATCACAAATCAAACATAGTCATTTAGATACTACTTGAAAACAGTTTGAAAATGTGTTAAGCAAAGTAATTTTACCATTGGAAGTTCAGTCAAAACAAGAAATGATAAAACAGACATGCTTTTTCAGATTTTCGAGTATTCAGAATCTACATGAGAAATGACGTCAAATGATTCTGTTTGAGAGCTGTTTTGTAACATCTAAATGTAAAATTAAGCTGTCGACGAAATTCTGGACGTGAATAAGAACTTCATCAATTAAAGCTGATAATCTCACTTTGACATGTGTGTGTGTCCACTGATTCATTCATCGTACTGGAACAACACTTTTTGCTAATTAGTGATTTTTCAATTTTTTTCAATCACGTATTCTAAAAGACCAGTTTCTGCACATTTTAGACTATTCTTGAAATTTATGAAAACCCATGTACTAAAAGGTGTATAAAAATCGGCAATTAATCGTGAAAAATCATACGATTAATCCTGCGCTTAATCGCGATTAATGGCCGATCTTTTGGTGATTATAGCGATTAACCGCGATTAATTAATGATTTTTTTCTAGGTATTAGGTTCGAATCCACCTTAGAAAATACATATTTTTTTCTGTTTTTTCCATTGTTTATTATGTATAATGCAAGGGGGGAAAAGCATACTTCTGTACTACTCGGTACTTCTCCGTACTTCTGAAGTACAAAGTACGAAAAGGGGAAAAGCGTATTTCGTACTTCAGAAGTACGGAGAAGTACAAAAAAGTACGAAGAAGTATCAAGAAGTACGGAGAAGTACAGAAGTATGCTTTTTCCCTCTCGGTATAATGACATGTACGTCACTTAGCAACGGTCTTAGCACCAGTTCAAGTTGGAGTCGATTTTAGACATTTCTCAGACACCAGCTGTTCACGGAGCTCCTCGACTTAAGGCTCTAAGGGATCATAGCGAAGACTCTTGACAACGTCGTTTTTTACTTTAAAATAAAAAGATGATCTAAACAGAATTGAATTTCTCGTTGAAATCGTGTTTCTCATATACATACTTTACGGCAAAATGAAACGGTGAGTAAGAACAACCGTTTGATCGCTTAAAATCAACAATTAATCGCAATTAATTGATAATTTTTAAAAAAGAAGAAAAGTCATCGGAATCGTCGATTAATTGTTAAAAATACCGCGATTTTGTCGACATGGGAAAGCTCTTTGTCCGTGTTAGAGGCGAAATACTGAACAACGCATGCTGGCATCATCTAACACTAAAATGTAATTACTCTATTAAACTCACTATTTTTAAATTCCAAAGGACGTATTTTTGGTCAGTGTCAAATTCTACATTGAGCCAATGTGTTTTTGGAATAAATTTGAGGAACTATGTTTTCCGTTAATCCTAGAGGGGACTAAAGACATCAGAAAACTAAGTGGTGGACAATGTTTTAAGTGTCCCTTATAGCATATGTCCAACCTTTTCAGATAATTTTTGCACTTGTATGCAAGAATCTTGATTATTATAAAACTAGTTGTAAAAAGGATTTTGATCATCTTCTTTTACGCTGTAAGTTTTCTTTAAACGGTAGGTTTGATATGCGCTAGTATATCTTTTTGATCACTCACATGTATATATCTGTAAATGATTTAAATGATGAAAGAAGAAAAGCATGCGTCATTCCATCTTCTTCCAATAGTTTATATAATCGAACATTTGCTGTTATGAGCCTCTTTCATTTGAATTATAAGATTTTTGCTCTCTGCTTTTTCTTCAATCACTGCTAATAACGATGCAAATGCTTGTTCCACATTAGATGTATCCAATGCTGATGTTTCAAAAAATAAGCAACCATTTTTGTCTGAAGAAAGAATGAAAATGACTTAGTGAGAATCCTTTTCGTTTTAATCATACCTGCAAACTTTTTTCCTTCATCCGTCGAAACTGTTCGTAAGGTTTGTGAATCCAGTTTGTTTCCAATTAACATGATAGCAATTTTATCATCAGCATAATCACGTACTTCTTTCAACCATTGTCTGATACTTTCAAATGTACTGCGTGTACAAATATCGTAAACTAATATAGTACCAACAGCACTACGATAATATCTACAAACATCTTATCGTACAAACACGCTTGTACTTTGTAAGCCACTAGCTTGCTTATTTAATCCAGGAGTATTCTTAAAAGACGTACGATGAGAAACAAATTTTTTTCGTTTTTTATTTTTACGCAAAATGAAAACTATACATTGTTAAAATAAAATTCAAGATTGAGAACTGAAAAAACGTGATTTTCGTTGTACTTCCTTTAAGAACAGTCCAAAGCAATGCACATG